GGGAAAGCGCCACGTGGGACAATGGCGTGCTTTCGCATGCGTCCGCCCTGAGCCACCGGTGGCTCATGTTGTCCCTCGTGGACCACTTTTTTGCCGCTATGTCAAATTTCGCAAAATGATAAGTCAATCGTGTAGGGACTGCTATTTCAACCATCTTGACCCTATTGGATGCCATCTCATGCCCCGCCCTCTGCGATCACGCCCACTTTTTAGCGCGATCGTGATTTCCAAAATGTGTTCCATAACTTCCGTTTCTAAGAATTTTCTTGGAATTTTCTGCTTTTCACACATTACAATGATTCATAGATGGCCACACCGACACATAGCCGGCCACGCCCACTTTTTAACAGGTTTGTTTTATATTTAATTTTCATACCTTATCTCAACGTTGACGCTTTCAAACACACTCTTCACATATTGCTCACAGACAAGCAATTGCACAAAGATGCATAAGGCTCCGCACACTTAGCTCCGCCCACTTTAGATCGATTTTCGCGATTTCTAGCAATATTTTATTATCACTATTTATCCATATTTTATTTCCACTATCCATATTTTATCACTTGTTCACCATCTCAAGATCACCAAACGGCGTTAATACTGAGAAGGAATGATACATTCGTGACCAGGATGCCAAATAACCCAGGTGTTCGAGTTTGTACCCAATTCGGTGCCAAGAAGATCGCTGGCGCCAAAGTGGCGCCAACACTGGAAAGCAACGATATATTTGTGACAAGGATCTCGAAAAACTAGCTATGGAGGTTTCTATCGAATTCGGTGCCAAAAAGACTGCTAGCGCCAAAATGGCGCCTACTGGCGCCATATGGCGCCAATGACTAAACCAAAAAGTGATGGAGAAAGTCATGAGCCACCGGTGGCTCAGATTGTCCCACGTGGCCACTCACTCATGAGCCACCGGTGGCTCAGGATGTCGTCAACGTGTTAATAGAATTTTACACATTTCAGGGTCTTTCGTGCTCACATATAGACAAACTGTATAGGGGTATACAGATATTGTTGGGCCGGTGTACGGTAAAGAAACTGTACAGTGTGGTGGAGGATACCTTGCTCTTCATAATGACTGCCAGCATTGTGACCTCGTCTAGTTGCATGCGCTGACTGCCGACCTCGACAGTCAACCAGGGTCAAGCATACGTAGCGGAATCCGCGGCAAGGGGATCGCATTCGGCCCCGCTCTAAGGAAGGGAGTCGTCATGGCAAAGATCGGTACCCAATACAGCAGGGACGTAGCTTGCAGGATGAGTGATGCCTTCAGAAAGGAGTCGAGTACATGGCGCATTCCAAGGAGGTGTTGAACAGTTTCACAAAAGTTTACCGAGAGTCTCCAGATGGAAATGTGGGCTTTGTATGCGGGGAGATCCCCATGCTGCGGCTAAAGCTCACTTTCAAATGGATTCTCCGCGACAAATGTGCACCATAGTTAAGCTAGAGCAGGAGTTGTTCAGAATGAAGGGACCCTCTAGTTTCTAATGCCATGTAAAACTCTGTCACAAGTTATGTCTTAACAAAGTTGTGGCTTTCAAAATGTGAACAATTCACGTTCGCCAAAAATTCTCCGCGCCTTGTGATTTGCCGCGACGGGGGAAATTTCGCTGTAATTGAGCCACAGCAAAGTAGTTTCGCTCTTGAAAAAAAACTCTATAGCTCCTAACGGCGTCTAGAGCTCCATTCTACGTTAAGTGTGGACAAAGTTATTCCCATTCAAGCGTGAAGAATTCGCGTTCGTCCCAAATTCTCGGCGTTATTTTCTGGAGAGAAGCCGACATGCAAGCTGAGTGAAACCTGTAGCATATTTCGTACAGAGCGTGGCCATGCAACTCGAGGGCGTCCTTACTGCTCTGTGGAAGATGGTTTCTTCATGAAATTATACCATTTCAAAAAATGCTATGTTGAGGCAGCGGACCGATAGTGCACTAGTCTCAACACGCGGGCAGCCGCAGTGCGCTCAGTGTCTCGGCATTGCTATGTTTGGTCTGGGTGGCGTTATGTGAGGTTTTCCAAGTTCCAATCTCTTCACTTTTCAGTTTTTATTTGTTTGGGTCCGGTAAAGTGTTCTTAGATACTCAGATGATCATTCGATAACATATCCATAACACACAACAGATCCTGATGGACACAGCAGATGCCTCCACACATTTATTCACCAAAGGAGGGAGAGGTCGCACGGAGACCCCTTTCTAGGGGGGGAAGGGTCGTTCCAATCCCCTCTCCGTTACGAGATGCTTGACCCTGGTTTCAACTCATATACAATGACGAGTTGGACGATTAAAGACAGTTTCCCGCGATCAATTAAAGACAGTTGCCGCGATCAATTGACCCGTGAAACGCCTCCGT